TTATTAAAACTTTTAAACTGGGAAATAAACACGAACTAATATAAAGTAAAGGTGAAAAAAAGGAAGAAAACGAACAAAAAGCAAAAAGTGAAACAAGAAACAATGGATGGAAACTAATCAAGGAGAGAAGCAACCTGGAATTAAGGAGAAACTTCGTAACAGTCAAGACAATTAACCAGTGGAACAGCTTGCCTTCGGAAGTTGTTTGTGCTTCATCACTGGAAGTTTTTTAAGAAGAGACTGAACAGTTGTTTGTCTGAAATGGTATAGGATCTCCTGCTTGAGCAGCGGGTTGGACAAGAAGACTTTCAAGGTCCTTTCCAGTTCTATTCCGATTTTGATACTGAACTCCAATCCTTTAGAGTACTCCAGAATTCTGTGTCCCTGCTATTTTTGGGAAATGGGACTCTTTTTTAAAATAACTGCATTGCTATTAGTCAGTTTCTGGGTACAGTTCAAAGTGCTAGTTATGACTTATAAAGCTACCTAAAGGAATACACCCTTCATTTGGGTCTACCCAGATATTTTAAAACTGAGGATTCTTCTTGTCAGCTGCAATTCACAGACATCCTAAAGTAATCACAGAGTCGTAGTCTACATGTATTCTCTTTAGATAATTTAGATAATCTTTAGATAAATACTTAAGTAGTATTTGATATACTTTTTAATCTGTAGCAGATCTGGACTGGACATATTATATTTTTAATCGTTTTACAGGGTGATTTGCTGTGCTGTGTTTGAAAAATATTGTTCTTATGTTGGGAGAAAGAACATAAAATCTCAAAAATAAATATATCAGAAGCTCCACTTCCTAATGGATTTCATATCATGATTTTCTAATAACCCACACTCCCACTATACAATATCAATACAGCACACATTCCTTTATGGTAGAAAATAATTTAATTAAATAAATCAGTTCATTTTTAAAAAAACATGAGACAATGTTCTAATTTTTCAAGACTGAGACATGGTCTTATGAATGGAAGAATTAAAGGGTGTTCTGTGAATGTGATTTTCTGGTGCCTGTTACATAAAAACAAAAGCCTAGGACAATAAATGTCTTTCCTTTTGTCCTCATGTATGCTTCTGAAAGACTTACAGTTTAGAATTATAAAAACTTTTGATTGCAACTGCATATCCAGATCTCCAAAACAGAATCAATTGACATAGAATAGATGGCACAGAGTGTGAAAATCAACAGATGATTCCTATCAATATTAATTATAAATCAAATTCTCATCAACTAATATCAGTGCTGATCAGTGTACTACATATTGTGAGTCAATGAATCATGGATCTTTTTAAAATTGATCTTTCATTCTGTTATTGCCTTGCCTTTAGAAGACCCCATTATTTTGAAGATATCCTATATGATATTTTCAATACCTAGCTTTGTTTTTCACTAAGAAAACCGGTAATGCAAGAAAACAACCAAGCTCTGAGAACACCAAGGATCCCTCAATTCTACCTTTCTGCCCACAAAGCATGGTCATATATTAGTACAAGGTGAATTTATGTTTGGAATAGCAGATAAATAGTTTGCAGTAAGATTTAAAAAAATTGTTGCAGTGCTTTGTGTGATCAATAACAAAATTAAGGCTATCACATCTGTACTGCAAAATTCAGAATGAGTACAAAAAGATGAGATAGAAATGTTGAAAATTGTAGCTTTTTCTTGCCATCTGGGAACCCTGACAAAATTTCCAAGAAATTATATGCAGGAATATCAATATGGCTAGGCAGTAATTATTCTATAATCAAATAACTCATTAGTCCAGACAGAAATTTCCTGAAGGCAGAAAGCTTGAAATACACTTCTTACACTTTAGTAGTCAGTCATTAAATATATTAAAGCCTGCAGCTTTACTGTTAAGGTGGTGTATAAATTCTATTTTAGGATAACAACGGAAATTGTCTGTGTGTGTGTGTGTGTTTCATTTTATTGCTCACAACAAATAAGTAATCAGGTTAAGGGAAATGCTTATCCACATGCATTGCAGTCATTTGTCTGTAATCTATAATCATTTGGCAGCAAGTCCCTAAATTCCTACTGGCCATGGAGATAAGGAATTCCTTAAACTTTCTTACTACTCCCTATCACTCCCATTTCATTTGAAAGTTTATAATGGGTTTTGCCCTTTTATAGTTGCTTAGGTCCAATTGGAAATAAGAAAAGGCTAACAAACATTTAATCCTTTTCTGGAGTTCTATGGAAGAGGAGGGGAGAGGTGTAATTTTGTTTCCTGCAGGAAAATTAAGCAGACTTAAATCTAAGTAATGGTGTTTTAAAGCTAAAGTCCCTCTTGTGGCAGAAAGAGGAAATCAACATATGGTTCGATTGTAACTAACAGAAACATGAAAGATGATCTATTAAACTCTTGTCGAATTGCAAGTTCTTGGGATACTTGCAGTAAAATTTCTGTCTAGGACAGTGTTTTCAACCATTTCAACTTGAATGTGTGTAGACTTCAACTCCCAGAATTCCCCAGCTGGCTTGCCTCCTAGGAATTCTGGGAGTTGAAGTCCACACATATTCAGCTTGTCAAGATTGACAAACATACTTCTAGTTTAGGCTTACACATGTCTATATAGTATGTCTCTGTGTGCAAGCTAATGCTCAGTATTGGTGATTAACAAAAAGTAAGAGTATTTTTCCTATATCATCACTCACCTTAAAAAAAAATTAAGATGTGATTATATTTTCCAATGGTATTTTTCTTCTTTACAAAAGGATATTGCATATTTTTGGCGTACTGATCCTCCCTCTTGACCTTCCTTCTTGACAGTTAGGTAAAAGCTAAATGATAAAGAGCTATATAAAGGTCCAAGTATACAGAAGACCTTTGCTAATAGGCCCGAAATGTACCCAATATCTTATTAATTTAATCTCTACAAAGTGTTAGAACTGAATAATCATAGTGCTCAGAGTGTAACAAAAGTAGAAATAGGTGGTATAACTTTCCTAATTAAAGTAGGACAATCCCTTCCATTGCCAGCCTCAGACATGTTGGCAGAGCAGCAACCAATAAATTCCCCATTTAATATTTATATTGTATTCAACATACTGTGAGGAATCCCTGTTCTGATGTATTTCAACAGTGCCCACGGAAGATCTGACAAGATGACATCATGTCAAGAATTCAGAGGAAACTAAAGCTCACCTTTTCTATCCCAATACAGATCTAATGCTTAGATACTTTCACAGAATGTTAGAATCGGACCATGGGACACAAAATAACAGGCAGTTTGAATTTACCCAGGTTTTATTTAGCTCAGATTACACAAATATGCACTTCAAATTCATGTCTCTATTAAAACAGTTGCCCAGAGGCCAAAATGTTCTCACTCATGCTATCTCCTTTGCAATGAACTCTATATATCCTCTAATCCCCAAACTTGCTCAAAGAGTAACCTGTAACTAGATAAATTATGTTGGCTTTCTTTGGAATTCTGAGTGGTGAAAGGATTCATGACAAAAGGTACATTCTTCATTTATTCACATTAAAGCTGTATTTCCCAAACCTGAGTAAATTAGCCAAAACTGGGTAAAAGCAATGTTTTTGGGGGAGTAACAAGAGACATTCCGTTACCCAATCACAACAGGGACATTTAAATAAGGACTTTCAGATACGTGGTTTTGGGTAACAAAGGAAAAATTTAGGAAGAATTGCATTAAAGCAATCTTATTTTTCAGACGCATGGGAATTAAATTCAGAATTTTTCAGCCAAGTCACAGGACATCTAGAAGAATTGACTAGAGGTGAGATGGGTTAAAAGAACTTTCACTGCAATATATTTATTATTATAAGACTCCTTTATGTATGGATTAATTGACGGCTACTATGTCTAAATGAACCAATAGATGTCTTCCAGATTTCTCTTCTGTTTTGGTTTTTAGTCTACTGTCTGAACTTCATTATATAAATGAACTAAGGGGAAATGGACTATACCTTCCTTCAAACCTGGTGCCCAACCACTAACAAAATCTAACAGAATCTAACAGAAAAGTAATCTGTATTTCTATTTGTCCATTTTTTCAATCTCAGCTGCTGCCTATAAGGAAATATCTCCAATGAAGTCCCATTGGCAATTCTCCAATTTTTACTGGGTATCTCACAGCTGTTGTAGAAGTAGGAAAGAAAAAAAATCTGTAATTCACTTCTGAAACAGAAAATAAAATGCAATTTAGCAAATGATTATTTTATTAAACAATAGTTAAACAGCATTTTAATACAATGTTCTGTTTCAATTTTATCCTTTTTATTCCAAGCATATTCTTTGACTAATGTTGTTGTCTATTATAAATAATAATAATTGCACAATTGCACAAAGTAATCAAAAATAAAATGATAGTTGAGCTAATAGTAGAATGGTTGAATTTAAACCCCTTCCCATCTCAGAAAATAAGTTTGGCTCCTTTGAAGTTCTTGCTGAATTCAATTGTTGGTATATAATGTAGGTGCCACAATGATCTGAGGAGATGGGATGTAACTTTCTCTAAGGGCCTGCCATTTTAATGTTCTACTAGGCAGATTTATTTTCCATCAGACTATAGAATCAACTGGAAAAAAGTAATTTCAAGGCAGCCAGGCAGGACACTGCAGCAGTTCTTCATCCTACATAGCCATGGGATATCATCCTTAGAGAACATAAAAAATAATAACAGCCAGAAAAGGGCTTGAGATTAAAAATCAGAATTCTTTGAAATAAAAAACAGTGTAACTGCCTGGATGGCAGCTGCCATCTTCCGTCAGAATACAGTAGTTGGTTTCCTTCCCAGAGGAAGCCTAGATTATCACCAGGTATCAAACTGTGCATGCTGAAATACCAAGGAAACCTTGCACCTGACTCTGCTCTTAAGATTTCCAGCAGCAGCCACTCAGCTGGCAAGCTGCAAAAGGAAGACCAATGGAAAAGGGGCTGTGAAGGATTTAGAAATTACCGTAGGTATCCTCTGGCAGATTGCAGACATGACTGTTTCAGATATGGCCTTCCAATCCTAGCTGCTTATGGTGACAACAAGTGTGGATTAAACACCCAATTTGCTGTTTAATGCAGATGGATTTCAGCCTTGTGCAGCCGAATAGCTGCTGAGGGGAAAAAACAAGCAAACAAACCAATCATAATCTCAAACATAGGAAAAATGTGTCTGGGTCCTAACTCACCAAAGGAATATAATTTCATCCTTGGGGACCCCAGATTTACACAAATAAATTGTATTGTTTAAGTAAGGCTTGCTCCGCTATAAATTGGAGATGACCTTCTCAATAAACACAGAAAAACTGTGAAAGAATTAGAGGAACACCTCACAATGCACTGGCTGGAATTCATGGAAATTGTAGTCTAATCATCTAGATGTCATCAGGATGAGTAAAACTGACCTCACCTATTCTCAACTACCCAAACATAAAATAAATCCCATATGCTATAAACATAAAACTTCCACACTTCCCTTATGAAGGTCACAATAATGCTCAGATACAACCTTACCTGGTACTGTAGATTAGTAACGTAAATTCTTTTAAGGAATTCATACAAACAATAGTGTTCTTCTTCCAAGTTCTGGCATAAAGTAATGTAGAATGTTTTGATTCTAACTGTATAATTCTGTAGGCATATTTTTCACAGTTGTGTTTCCAACTTTGCTTGCCAAGTCTCCTAAAATATTTGACACAATATTTTCCTCTGTGTTCAGGCTCATTCAGAGGGTACAAGTCCCTCTGACATTTTGGGATTCCTCTTGTCCCAAAGCACTGGCACTGACATCAAGAAAAGAAACTATATAGATTTCACTATAATGAGTTTCAGTCACATTTTTAAGAACAAAATAAATCAATCAATTACTACATTAAATCAATTAGTGTACTTGACTAAATTCTGTCTGTTTTGCAGCTTTATTCTCTTTTCAAAATAAATACCAAATAACATCTTACAGCCGTATATTTATATTATTTCCAGTGTTTCAGCAGCACCATTAGAATAAATTATCCATCTTTAGGTATCTTACAAATCAAATCATACAAATAAAAACAATTTCAAATTTGAAAAAAACAACACAGCATGCTGATCACAGAAGACAAGCATAGTTCTTAGTTTCTAAAAGATCTGTCAGAAAAGTTATTTCAGCTTTTCAAAAACTAAGACAAAACTAACCAAACCAGATTCTTAGATTAGCCTACATGCTACTACATGCAGAATAGTTGATATCAGCATCTGTATTGCCAGAGAAATGATGCCCTTATATATCATATCTTAACACAAATGACACAATGATATAATTGTATCACAATGCAATCTGCTACAAATTAACACAAACCCAATATTCTCATCCTTTGCCCAATGGCATCAAAATGACACACATGCCATCATTTTGACATCCTTGAAGCTTCTCCTGGATGCATGTTATGGATCATTTCCTTAGGCTGTACAGTATCCTTCCAGAAATTCTCCTCACCCATCAGGAGTATTCAGTTTTGACAAAAAATGTACAGGTATTATTATTTTTTTGTTTTTTAATTTAGCAAAGAGGCAATTGACAACCTTTGGATGACCACACATTTGTTTTTGGTGAAGGCAGACTGTGTTTGAGGGGCTACAAAAGAAGGTGACCAGGGCTCTTTTGCATGTATAGTGAGGCCAGCAATGAGGGCACAATTTTCCTGGTTTAGATGGGAGATGTTTCTGAATTAACTGTTTTAATTGATTTTAAGGGTTGCATTTCATTATCAAATCATACAAGAAGACTGAAAAAATATATTCAAATCTTACAGGAATTACTCCAATCATTGTCATATAGTAAACTTACAAAATTTATGTTTTACTGAAAGAATGAGAGAGGAAAAGAACCTTGGTTAGGGAACAATGAATGAAAAGAAATCAAAGCTGTTTAAAAATCACATTAAAACCATGGGGATAAAGTAATAAAAGCAGTGAGGTGAAATAGGAAGGTCCACTCTGTACACTTGTATTGTAGAGTCAATTGTCCTTTGGCTCTTCTTCAACCAAAAGTCTCCGTTAGTGATCATGAAGCACTTTTATAATGTAGTACCAGTAAGAATTCCTGCTGCATGCACTGGTTTCCATTTGCCCCCTATGTCAGGAGAGGACAAGGTGTGCTCTAAAGACAACACAGGGATCTAACACAAAATTTTGCAGCAAAAAATAGGGAGCCGAGGTGGCGCAGTGGTTAAATGCAGCACTGCAGGCTACTTCAGNATCAGGGAAAGTCAGAACAAACTTAACACTTAATTGTATGTTTTGCTATTAAGGATTCTTGGTTATTAACTTGATCTTAAGGTTAGTCCCAAGCGTGGAGTTAACTGGCTGCCCGAGTAGAACCTCATTGCCCGGGGCAGAACACCAAATATAATAATTAGTAAAAAATAAACGTGAGTTCATTGTTATGTACTCTCAGATAAGTGAGTACATTATTACATCCTTACAGTATTTGATCATGAATATTTTTAAACATTAGATTTCATATATAATTTTAAAATGATACATATATTTTTATTACTTGATCCTGGTTTTCTCTCTAAAAAATTGAGGGCAAATATCCCAATTGTTCAATTGCTATGTTGTTTCCCTAGAGGAAAAGCAGGACTTATGTTTTGAAACTAAAGATTTGCTATTTGTTTAAGATATGAAACAGTCAGGTGCAGAACAGTACTAAACATCAGTTTTCAAAAACAGAAATAATCTAGAAGTTGGCTCTCAGCTATTTGTACCATAAGATTGATAATGTAAATACACACCTAATCTGACCTCCATTTGTATCGGACTATATAAAATAAGTGGTCGATTATCAAACTATAATCCCCCTCTATCTTTCCAACCCTGTTAAGAGGAAAATCCTTTAGAACACCTTAATATTTATCTGCCGCATGTAGTGAAGCAAGTTCTCTATATTTTCATTCCTAACAGATCAAATCATAAATTCAAGACTAGTCATGCCTGCCTACATTCCAGGTAAAGATATACCATATTTTTCGGACTATAAGATGCACCTAGCTTTAAAGAGGAGCAAAAAAAAAAAAAAAATCTGCCTCTGCCTCCCAGCATCCATCCGGTATTCATCTGGCCCATTTGCCACAGCCTGTTTGCTGTCACCCATTCGTCGCCACGGTGGCCCATTTGCCAAGGCAGAACTGTTCTAGAAAAGCTGATCAGTGCCGCACCAACCCCCCCCCCCGCTGCAATGTTCGCTATATAAGACACACAGACATTTCCACCAACTTTTTTTAGGTGGGGGAGTGCATCACATACATACATACATACATACATACATACATACATACATACATACATACATAATTCCACAACTTTATAAAAAAAACCAATAGGAAAAATCCAAAGTTATTTTCAAAGCAACTTTTAAAATAATTTATGGAATGTTATTAGGTGCCGAGAAAAATTTCAGAGGCAAAATGTGCTGAAACTTCAAAATATAATCAGATCCTAGGATGTTGGAGATATTTCTTTTTACTCTCCAATCCTTGTCCTCATATTTGAAAAACCTAACAAAACATATTGTACTAAAGAAAAATAATTAGCAATAGCAATAGCAATTAGACTTATATACCGCTTCATAGGGCTTTCAGCCCTCTCTAAGCGGTTTACAGAGTCNAATCTCACCGGCTCAGGGTTGACTCAGCCTTCCATCCTTCCGAGGTGGGTAAAATGAGGACCCGGATTGTTGTTGGGGGCAATATGCTAACTCTGTAAATGCTTAGAGAGGGCTGAAAGCCCTATGAAACGGTATATAAGTCTAACTGCTATTGCTATTGCTAAAATTATCCATTTTCAGTAGCAGAATTTTGCAAGATTGCTTTTCTCAAAAATGTGAATCTAAATTCAGTAATACGTCTTCTCACTAAACTGCTTAATTGCCACACAATTTTTACATAATTAACATGTAGTAAAAAGTCAGATCATTTGGTGTCTTTTAATTGTGCTTTCTTTAAAACTGCTTAAGTTCTCTTTCATCATATGGGTTACATAAGCACCCCCCACCCCCAATGCTTCATTAGAAGCATTGGAAAGCCTGGAAATCAACCAAGCAAGCAAGCAAAATGAAAATGATTTCAAAGCTTCAGAGTATGTGCTGGGAATTACTAAAATGGTATCGTACCAGAAATAACGTTATACTGTGAAATACTACACAATATGTTTCAGAACATTTGCTGTCTGGAAAATTTCTCCCACAGGATAACAAAAAGTGCAATTTATAAATATGTTTCTCCTTAGAATACGATTTCACCCCTTCTACCAAAGAATCATTCTGACCCCTTCCCCTGATTACTAATAAAATAAAATAAAACTTATACATTTCTATGCCTGAATATACAGGCGTTACTAATATTGTAATTCAATTCTGTTTATTTGAAAGCAAATCCTCCTGTGTTCACTAACTCTATGGAAAGTGTATTTGCCTTCCATCTTGGGTTTACCAACTCACCCATCAATTCTGTCCCTATATATCAGTTGGTACAACAGAATGTGTTTTGCATATTTTTGCACAGTGAAAATAGCTACTTAGACTATTATCCTTCTCTGCAATTCTTCCTCCAGTTTCAGCAATTTTAATCGCTCAGCTGGGGGAGTTGCAAAGTAGTTTTTTTGTTCTTCTGAGTATTTATCTTTTACTTCAACAATATCCCGATAGCTCCAGTCCCGCCAGTGGAAATTGAATTTCTCTAGTAGTTCTATTCTTTTTTCTTCTGTGGATACACAATCAATAGGGCTTTTTTGCAGCAAGAAGGGTACCTTGATATCTGGGAAAAGCAGAAGAGCTCGGATTGCAAACCAACCTCCATAAGAGGGGTGAATACAAACACCATAGATCTTCTGAAATGAAAGAAAACAATTTGAAGACATGAATTTAACAACAACCAATGGCTCAAATCTTATGCAGAAAAAAGACAAATGCTGACTGGTACATGCATCATGTTAATCCCTGGATTGTTAAATATAGTATAATAACTGGATTCCCACAACTTATATCTAAAGTAAATAAACTACACTAAATAGATATATGGCTACAATTTTATTTCTTTCAAAAGATAACTGTGGAACTTTAGTAACAGGATTTGACCTGGAGTTTTCCACTACAATCATATTTCAAACCGTCATACCTATAGAAACTTGCCTTTCAGTTACTTTGAGAAATAGTTTCGAACAAAGTTGAAAATTAGTTGTGAGAGATGTTAATTTTCATAACTTTTACGCATTCCTTTTGTACCATTATTACATAAAGTGAAACAGGGTTTTCATGAAGCCTTTTGAAATCATATATCACTTTGGAAAAACAAAACAAATTAGGCACCTATTTGGCAGCAGTATACAAAGTAGGTTACTATTTTATTATAAAATTGTATGACTAAAAATCTATGAATATTAACTTGAAAATATGTCCACTAAATTTAATGGAATTATTCCCAAGCAAGAATATGCGTGAATTGTTACATCAGGAGTATGGCAAATTTATCATATTAACTATGGGGGAAGAACATCAGGAACTACTTGTCAAATAGGGACAGAGACACCCCTATTTTCCCAGCTATTTTCAAAGTCTCAGCCATTATACATCTCTACACCAAATGTGCTGTCCCAACAGTATACAGCTAATATAGGAATTAAGAGCTGTCTCCTTTAAGCAACTATCTCATGGGAAATGTAACTACCTTATGGGAAATGTAGTCCCATAACATGTGACCACATCTGTGCTCCCTGATTGGGCAGTGGGGTATTTTGCCCGGGAAATTGTTTTATTACTGCGCACTCTCTGAATCCTTGTCAGCACTAGCAGAAGCAGCTTTGTACCAGCAGCATGGGTTAGAGGATATTAATGTCTTTTTACACTACG